TACCTTAGTCCCACCTTACCACATGGTTTTACTCTATAAAAGTCCCTGGAAGAGACAGCTTCCCAGGGGACATCCCGCTGGCTGGGGGTGGTCTCCTTCTGTCCCTCTCCTGGACAGCTTTCTTTCCCCAATAAATATGTTCTACTCTTATCCTCCATTTGTTACTAAAATTCCTTCTTCAGTTTTAGAGAACCCAAACTAGTCCCACGTACCTTTTAGATGAGGGGTTTCATTTCCTCTATGTCACCAGCAATAAGAAGAGCAACAGACACAGAAGCAAAGCCTCTGTTTCTTCGCCATCCAGGCTGTCAGGCTAGTCATGATTAGAGCAAACAGTGAGACCCTTTTTTCAGGCTGGGGCCAACCTGGTCAAGGGCCAGAAGGCCACTGACCATGAACAAAGGAAGACAGCAGCTTTATAGCCTCGGTAAGGAAGGCAGTGTTTCACTGAGAAAAAGGATGGAAAATTTTTTTGTTTCTCGGGTCATGGATAGATCTGGTGCCTCACTGAGGAGAGGGAAATACAGGGTGACAGTGGTACTCTGCTGATTGACAGCATATCATTCTGTAGATTTACAGGGTTTTCATTAAACTTGAGAACCAGGCCTAGGAGCTTTCCTGATAAAGTTATTTTTCTTTCTCAGGTTGAGTGAGGGGGTGTTCCTGTTTTGGACTATGGCAGTCTTTTCTCCTCAGGTTGTGAGGGGCCTAATCGTGAGAGCCTAACAGGCTACATCACACCCATGGTGCAGCTTCCCATTATCTATAGCCAAAGATCTGCTAAACCAAGTAGTGGACTAATCCACATGCTCTCAGTCCTAGCATTTGACTGTTGTAGGCAGCTGAGTAGAAATATAGGCAGTCTGACAGGGCTAGGCCCTCAAGGGGACAATATGGAAGACGAGATAGCTTTCAACTGTCCAGAGAGACAGGCACTCCTACTGTGGGACAGACCTCAAGACAAAAGATTAAACGAATACACCCACATGCCTTCCTAGATGGGAATCCAAGATTGATATTCTAAATAGGAAGCAATGCTTGAAAGCGATAGGGAGAGTCACTAACCCAGCCCCCTACAAGCACAGCCCCTGTTCCATATTCATGTGGGCTCACTTCCCCATTTGATCCTGATATAATCAATTTTACCCGAAAAACTGTGCTTGTGGTTTTATTGGTTGACCATAGTTTTGTCCCAACTCATGCCCGCCTAGTGCATTCCCTTGTTTCCACCTTAGACTCACATCACCTCATGGCTTTGCTCTGTCCCTCAAAAATGGCTGGGGAGATAGCTCGGTGGTCAAAGCGCCTGCCTGGGAAGCTGTAGGACCTCCTGCACACCTCCCCCAATGCCATGCTGGCCCCGGATACCCGGGCACATCATGCCAGTTACTGAAACTGGTAGCTGAGTAATCCCAGTGCAGTGCAGAGAGACCTGTTAGGGAAGGGTCCACAAAATGTCAGGGTCTCACTACTACACTAGATCGGACTCCTAGTGATCCACCTGCTTACAGCCTCCCAAGAGCTGGGATTACAGGCGCGGGCCACCACGCCCAATCGCAATTGCCGTCTCAGCGCGCCTGGAGTCGGGACCTGCACATCAGGCCTGGGAATCCCTGGCCCCCGAGCTATTTGGCTGGCTCTACCATTATTGTTAATATTTTTTCTCTGGCTGCCTCGGGCTGCCTTAAGGGCGGGTCCGGTGAGGAATGTGGAGCTGGGGATTGAACAGTTGTCCCCTGCAACTGACTGGGTTTGTCGTAGCAGGTATTTAAACAACCAAGCTAACCCGTAAGCCCCAAGAGACCTTGAATCAAATAAATTTTTTTTTTTTTTTTTTTTTTTTTTGCGGAACCGCGAATTGAACTCAGGGCCTTGTGCTTGCCAGGCAAGCACTTATTCTACTGAGCCATCTCCCCGGCCCACAAATCAAATAAATTTTTAAAAATTTAAAAATCCCTAGAAGGGGCCGGCCAGATAGCTCAGCAGACTAAAGCACCTGCTTAGCTAGACTCGGGCTGGGGTTCAATCCCCGGTTCTGCAAAAAAAAAAAAAAAAGCAAAAAAAAAACCAAGCAAGCAAGCAAAGAAATATGTTTAAAATAATCTTGGCGTGTGGAAGCCTTTGAAGAACACATCATGAAATTTAGAAAGCA